AAGGCTTTCGAGAAATCCAGATAGATCACATCAACATCCTCCAGGGTCAGCTGACTGGGTCCAGCTACTCCGTGCTAGCAGCAAATTCATTGTGCATGATCCATTTCGACGGAACTCGTGCTGCTCAGAAAAAATAATGCTAGCGTTTTCCAAATAGCCCACCAGCGCATCAGTTATGATAGATTCCGTCACCTTGGATAGTAAAGGGAAAAGGGAAACAGGGCGGTAGTTTTAAGCCACAGTTCTGCGTCTACCGCTGTGAATGGGTGTTATTATTCCAAGCTTGCACATGGCAGGAACTTGGTTCTGGTTTAAACAGCGCTGGAAGAACTGAGCCAGTGGCTCTGTCAGTTGACTTGCTTCCGCTCCCAGTGTCTCTGGGCGAATAGTACCGAAAACCGGGGATTTGTGCTTGCATAGAGTGGTTAGCGTCTGCAAAAAATCTTCGGTGGTAAAGGAGATATGAGTGAATCCTGTCGGTGGGGTGCTTAAAGCCGGAGAATCTTCTGATTGTAATACCTTCTGGAAGGTGGAGGCATATTGCACCCGCAGCCCGTTTGCTGCTTCCGCAGCCGTTCGTGTTGGGCCATCAGCCTTTGTAAGTGGCGGAACTAATTGTCTCATCTTCCGTCAGCCATTGACGTGTTTACACAGCATTTTATGGTTGGCACTGAAGGTTTTTGCAATGTTCTGCTAATACTTGACTTTCTCCTCTCTGAGCAGTTGAGTGCAATTATTTCCTTAGGCTACGTAGTTATCCCCAGCTTTCTTGTGTTGTGGATAATCTATACTCTCCCCACCCTACGTTGCGTACCGACAGCAATGTTCGCGTTCTGCTTCTTATGTAACGAACTGGTTCAGACCTTTTGAAAACTTTTGTCTCTGAAGCATCCGTAACCAGCCAATTGAATTTGTTTACGAACTTGAGCCAAACGACATCCGATGGGTCTTCGGCAAGGAACAACTAGGTTGTAACCCTGATGAGGTGGGCTAATCGATCGTAGTATATGATGGCTCGGCTTGTTGCATGGTCCGCAGCTCAGTATTCCGCATAGCAGATGCAGCTGAAACTAATAACTGTATACTCACTGCGACCTAACGGATAGTCTACAACCAACGCATTAATCATATATTCTTCGTCGGTAAGCATAAGATCAAGCACAGATGGCGTATTATCTGTTCTGAACCGAGTGGGCGAATCGACATGATTATAAAGCAGAACACTGGTTGCAGGCTCCTGAAGATCGGCTTTAAATTATTATCCGCTCGTGGCGGGGGTTTCTAAACAATACACGTTGAAAGCACTCAAGGTTAAGATGAGTACGTATCTCCTTTTTGGAGTTCACCGTAGGGCAGTCGCAATTCGGTAGTCCGTTTCAGATGGGGAGTTGGGGGACAGTAAACCAAGGCTATCAGGCAAGTGTCTCTGCCACTTAACTGCAGGCTGCACCAACGCGAATCAGGAATCAGCGAATCTGAATCCCCCATCACCTCGCACTGTAAGTCGTTTCGCTAATACAGAATTACGCCTCATCTTTTTGTCAGTCTGTCAGTCCGAGTGAGTGACATGCCAGGTAGCGAAATTTCAGCGTCCATTATTTCAGTGTGTAACCACGGTTCCGTGATACCGATGATATCATATTGCCGGGCAACTTTGCCACCACTTAGTTCGGCCAGCTTATTGGAGAGGTCCTGGGCATTCGCGTACAAGCAGGCTAGTTTATCGATCGCTTGTGGACCCCAGGGGAGCAAGGAAGTCAGGTGTGTGGGAGTGCCGACCGATTTGAGGTCGGCCGCTATTCGTTGCGTCTTGATGAGATACTGGTACTACTTCCGTACTTTGCTCTGACCAAGGCGCTTCCCAACCTTGATCTAAGTCTAGGTCAATAACAGGTAAAGGAACAATCATCGGCGGTACATCTGCTTTCTCAATGAGTTCGTAACTTGACTTTGCGAATTATCTGCAGTCCATAACCGAAGTTCCGATGGTAAATATTTTCGATTTTTGCTCCAACTATGTAGCACATCCGTCGCTGCTTTCTATGACTGAAACACTAATTTTAGGATTCTCGGGTCGCATCCTTTATAAGTTGGCGAGTGACGCACCCTTTTGAGCGATCGAGCTACAACATTATCCAGGGAAAGGTCTCCGCGGATGAATCTCCATTGTTTTAACTCGTGATTTCCGGCCACTTAACTGTAGTATAAAGGAAGCTCTGGAACACCATGCTGTGTCCTTATTCGGAGTTTCTTTTTTGACTGTCGCATGCTCCACAGAACATCAGGATAGATACGTATCCCACACGATTCATGTTACAGCGCGTTTGCGGAAAGCGGAACTTTTGCTAATTCAGTTGACGATTCTAGTGTTATGCTATCAAGTCTGGGCTCGCTAAAGTGTGCAGTGTACGGATGACGAGTAATTCGTACTAAGTTTGTGGATTTGGCCTTTACCTTCAACAGAAAGCACAGTGACTCCCATTGGTTTAGGTCGTCGGACAATTTACCTTGCAACAAGATAGTTGCTGATTTGCGTATGTTCGAGTTCACGACAGTTAGGGTCCTATTGTTAGATTCCTTTTCCAATGAGCTGTAAGGTTGGGAGATCGTTTGTCTTGACTTGCCACTAGTTGCTGAGTGCTTATCGTTTATCGCTCTTTTCAAGTTAGCGGTTCTTGTAACAGAAATGACTAAAAGAGTAACCTCGCGGGTGAAGTTTGCAGCAATCGCGACTTATGTGAATGATGTTGGAGTGAACTTTGTCTCGACAATAGACCCCTGAACTGCAGATGCTGACGGTTGCTGTTCGGCTGCTTTGTCCTTTTCACGCACAGGTCTCATCAACCCTGGTGGGATTCCATTACTCCCACGTTTCACTTGGTGCCTAATTTTAGTGGCCACGGGCACTGTTTGCCTCTCGGAGTTAAGGGCAATTTTCTGCCAAAGATGGAGATGACAACGGCCGTCGGGACCTAGCTGATCGTGGTTCAGGAGCAACAACTTATGCACCATTCTTTAAGTTAAATGTCCCTAGGTTTAAATGGTTCAGACTCTTCCAATGCGATGAGCATAGTGCTCGTTTGCTGCTCGGCTTCTGCTACCAACCGATTGCATTTCTGGACTATGACAAGCATACACTTGACAAGTGGGATGGTCGAACAGATAGTACAGAACCAACGGACATCTTGAGACTCACTCATCTCTTACACGTGTTGTTGTGATAAGCCGGTATATTTCGGATGGTATCACATTGAACAAAACGAGCAGGCTAAGTCTAGTTTGACTACTCGCTTATAGGCTCTTGTCCCACAAACACCTCTAGCTTAGAGCCTTTTTGAATGTGCATTTACTCGATGTTTGCCATTCAGGCTTGTGTGGTTACCCTAGCCAGCGGGATGACTGATGAGCTTTTCGACTTCCGTGGCGGTATGCATCAATTAAGGGAACCTTGAAGTTGTATAGGCTAAGTGGCGGTCGATGGAGTTGAGTTGGTTGCGCGTCGGTCCAAGGGGTATGCGGTTGCACTAGTTGACAAGGCCACAAACAAATCCAAGATGGCAGACACAGACAGCAGTTGGGCCAACCACTGAGATCTCCGAAATTAGCCAGAGAATATTCACCAAATTAGCACAGATACAAAAATACACCAAAGTAAGAATATTGGTGCACATTTCACACAGAAAACACGTATAAGACAGTAATCCGGAGGCAAAAATAGAAGCCAGAGCACGGTACTTCAAAAATCCGTGACGTCCGTGGGTACAGCCAAGGTTGAATGGGGCTAACCGGCTGGCAGAGGTCGTTGCCTTTTAGCTTAGGAAACTTACCGCGCATGCAGCCATCAAGTACTACAATGGGTATTCAGGACCTTCCAACAAGCAGCGACGGAACACTTAAACCCTTAAATTTTTCTACCTTGGAATCGCATTAGTGTGGATCTTGGTGGGTTGCGTTCAGAATCCTTACGGTTGACTCCCATATCTGCGTCGCGATGGATCATAAATAAAAGGGCACCGATGAAGTTGAATACACCATCGCGCCTATAACATCTGGTGCTGAGCTTATGGCGATTTTCCAAATGATTTTTTTTAATTTTATTCAGGCTGCATTGCAGTCGGCTTCCAATCCATGGTGTTCACCCATCATCCAACATGGCGCAGTGGCATACGCTGCTGTCTAGTGACGCAAGCCACTAGCCGTCATGCGTTCGATCCGCATCAGCAGACCGAAGAATTGCACGTCGCTGACGAGTCCCATGAGGAAGAAATGGCCTTCTGATCTCATTCCGGATTGATTGTTGGTATAACTGGTTTGTGCTCTTATTACGATGAACTAAACAAAGCTCACCAATTGTCTCTACTCACAAGTGGTTTCCAAAATTATATCGCGCAGTGATGATGAAATGGTGGATGATTTTATTGGTCCGGCTTGGGGGACCGAGGTGTCTGGCGCAGTCGGTATTGTCCAAGCTGCTTCTGCTCCGTAGCTTTAAGGATCACAAGCCTGCCTGGTAATCCGAGGGCGCGGGTTCGAGCCCGCTTAGGGACCGGGCGGTACATGCAGTATTCTTAGCTAATGTACAACTGTTGTTGATTACGCGGCAGCGAAGAGTCGGTACTGCGTACAGGTGTACTGCTGATGCCGTGATAGGTGCTTACCGGACCGAACTGCTTAAGCGAGAATCACGAAGCATCGGGTGTACTTATAAGAAAGCCTGATTGGGCATCCGAATTTTTGGCTTGAGACCCCAAGGTCGGCTCTCAGAGACATTCAGGTTACTTCTACAACGGCCCAGCAATGATTCCGTGTAGTCATACTTGCGAATGTCAGAGCAGGCATTATTCGTTTGAACCGCTTGCTTTGTACAACCCCCCACTCTCGTCAGTATCTAGGTTACAGTCATAGACCATCGCATTCGACAGGTAGTTTGACAAATAAAGGTCTGGGTAATTGTGAAATATTTCTATGAGCCCCACCGCTATGCTGGTTATGTAGCTTACCTTATGACCGTAGGTGTGCGTTGTCCTGTTCCTGTTAGCCATTTGAGCAGGAACACACTAGAGGAAAAAGATAGGAAGTGATGATTGAGTATATGAAAATTAAAAGTAGGAGAAGCGGTGTGGCTACGCTAGAGACTAAGTAGCATCAGACAGTAGACGGTACATGTTAGGTAGGGCTTGCTTGGTGTACATACAAACTAACCCCCCTCCAACTCTACAACCATTTAGTAAAAGCAACTCTACTGTCTCACTGAGGAGAAAAATTGCGTAGCCCCTGTATCGACACCTGTACAAGTGATTGTGTAAGATTGAATCTAGTGAGCAGTAGCTGGTTACTGTGTTTTTGAGTAGGTTCGTCGCAGCTGAACTCAGCCGCGCAACCAACACATCCAGGAATCCGTCAGATGTCCGTTTTGTCCTATTGGGGGTCGTCAGTTGTGCACCTCCGCCGGATCCTACCGGATCTGAACCCACGAGGTTCAACGACCTGTGTCATTCAGCAATGGGTAACGTTGGCGGATCGACATGACTGATTTCCAGCTGCCTTACAGTGCGGCCTATCTTTCACTGCCATGCATGTTAAAAACAAGCAGAGGATAGGACTGGCCCCAGTGCTACGAATATGTTAGCAAGTCGCCACCGATCGAGATGGCAGATGAGAAGCGAAGGCGAATGCCGCTTATTAGGGAGTAATATGTAGATTTATTGAGTAATGATGAGTGGCTGAGTCTAGCTGTGACGAATCTTCGCAAGTTTGAAACTACCGATGTGTTTAAGAATCCAGTGGACATTTTTATAGAACAACAAAAACATTCTTTCGTTTTAGGAACTCATACTACAAATTTGACAGCTGTCCTTTGACTTATTCACACTTCAGTTTATTCCCTTGCACATTGACTTGTCATGCATTGGCTAATTTCTGGGGATCACCGATGAAAACAGTAGGTCTGCTATTCTTACATAACAAAACAAAGAAAGCATGGTCAATAGCCTGGCGCTTTGTATTTGGTCAATTGAAATTAGTGGTCAGATTATCCTTATGCGGAACATGTACAAGAACCAAACAGCTTGATAGGCAAATTACACAGTGCTGTCGGCCACATTGCATATTGAACACTCTAGTACCTTCTGGATCAGTTACGAACCAGCCGGGCATGGTCTTGTGGTTGTCTGTCTAGCTATGTCGCATTGGTAAACGGTATCGAGGGATGAGTCACACTGTTACTATACAGTCGATACACCGACATACACATGGCATGAAAAGATAATCTATCGAGCTCCATGGGTTATGGGTTTGTTTGTTGGTGAAGCCTGGTGATGCACGGTACTAACAAATCCCACAAGCAGAAAGAGCATTCTGGGGCCTTTTCCGGAAGTGTGGGAAACTAACTGATTGGGACTTGATTGCGATGGACAATGTTTAACCTACATTGAGAGTTCGCTACTTATCAGTAATGTGACGCAGAAAATACAACAGCACTTAGGGTATAATGAATCTGCACTAAGAAGAAGATGATAACGAACGATAAGGTCTACTCGCCAGCTGTACACCGCATCACTAAGGATAGAAGCTGTTGAGCGACAATTTCATCATTAACGAGAAGCCTGCGTGCTAAGCTTTGTAGCAGTTGCATGAGCTGGCACGTTGTAGGTGAGTAAAATCATAGTAATCTGGTTTATGATGCGGTAGTTGCATAATGAGCTCACCGTGGCTGCAAATCCTGTTCCAACAAGACGCCAATTGGTAGGACATCTGGAAGTATTCGTAAAGAACGCAAACTTCTGACTGGTGTTTAGCCTATCCACAATCAGTTGAACCGGCTTATGTCGTTCGGTTGGATTCAAGTGGGAGACATTTCCACTGACGCTGCGTAACAATAAAGAAAAGAGCGGTGTACCTTAACCTCATCCTGTAAGAACCCAATGCGCGAACTGGGTTATCGTGGAAATATGATCAACCATATTCACCAGCTTTGACCATTAATCGCTCCATGCATCTTCTAACTCATTGCGGGGGGTTGTGTGACACACACAACTTCTTTATCTAACACCAGTGCACCTACATCTGCAGCTTCCAAGCCTACCCTTTCTGTTGGGGTTTTGGTTTCGTTCAATTTTCGTATCTCTATGCTGCTGACTCGTGGAGCAGTAGTGCCTGCTTTTGCCCCCCCCCCACAATTTGACCTTGATTGCATTTGCCCATTTGAACAATGTACTGAAACATCAAACCTCTCCAGACACCATACAAACAAGTCTGGTTGGAAGGTATAGTGAGTCGGCCTCCCTTGCAGACTGCCTTAATGTGTAGTATGTCATGACAGACGTTTGGCACACCACAGATTGTTGGATTGGACGAATACACTTCACCGGTAGAGGCCTGACGTGCAACTGGTGAATTTCACTAGCAATCGACTTTATGACATTTCTCTACTCTGAAACAGCCAGCAGCGGGGCCAGCTGCACTGAACAGATTCGCACTGGCTGTCAGTCGCTTCGGTCTATGCTTTGCATCCTCGAAATACAGCGTGCCTCTCCAACACTATCAATAGCCCAACTTTGAGTTGACCTTCGGTAGGGATTAGCTAGCGGTCGTCCAAAAATTCAAATAACAAGGGAGCTACATTTGGACTAGTGGAATAGAGGATGATATAACAGTCGTATAGCAAAAACTCGAGGTACTTTTGCTGATCTCCGCCACCTGTGGCGCCAGCACAAAATCACTCTTTCCTTGAACGACGGAGCTTACAATGCTGCCGTCTGTTCGAACGTCTTGTACTGGTGCGAAACCTGGTCCATCAGACTGACATACATAAAACTGATTGTTACATCCGATCAATGATGTTTTCAAAGTTTAGCTGCTGCCTGGCGGGAACACAGCTTGAGCAATGAGCGTGTTCGGCGTCGTGTATTCGGTGAACAAAGAGCGGGTGAACCACTCAGCCCCAGCATAAAAAGCACTAGGCTCCGATGACTGGGCCACGTGTTGCGTATACCTGCACACCTACTCCCACCAGGTGCATTGCTTGCTCGACTGGGGTGTGGATGGAAGAAGAGGGGAGGCCAAGCGATGAATTGATCAAGAGGAATGCTAACCATCAGTTCGAAGTTGGCGTTATATGAAAGGTGCCAACTTAATACGTGTTTTTTGTTTTTATATTGTATTCTGTGATATTTCCTATCTCACTTTTGTTATATACCTTTTCTATTGGTATTGCGACACAATAGCTGAGGTATTTCTCACCTTAAACTAACGTGCAATGACGATTATAATGAATTTGATAGTGATAATGATGAGTGGCCAAGGCAGAATCACCTTCTAAAAACTCTAGGCAATATTCGTGCGCCAAACGGTGGGAAGTGACTGGATTATAGGGTACATGGAATACTGTGCTGTGGCGCGCTTTTGTAAGTCTGTAACCCAAATACGATCGCGCTAGTATCAAGCAGGGTCCCGAAAACCAAGATATTATCTCGTGCCCACGCCTGTTAGCGGTCTCGGTCGTCATGTTGAACTGTGACTTACTCAAAATTTGGGACTCCAAACGCCTTTGACACCAGCTCCGTAATCTGATCTAAAGGTATTGAGGGGCCCTATTCAGGATAAAATGCATGCGGGAACAAAGGTATATCATATGACCATGAAATACACGTAACACGTGTGGGATGGATTAAAATCACAATAAAAATCCCAATATGGACGACACAAATTGGTGTCGAATGGGCTACTCTCTCGAGCATTTGCTTAATGAAACCTATTTGAGATTCACAGGTAAGGAAAGGTTATAGGTAGCTGGATGGAATCTTGAAGGGAATATCGGACATATATACATATCGACGAATCGGAGGGAGCTGTGGCTTCTGACATGTGCCTTGGCTTCGGTGCAAGGTACGGTGGTGAAAATTAACACGTAAGTTCACTTCGAAGCATGGGGTAAAATTGAAACCGTACAGTCACGTATGCGCTTGAGTATCGATCGTGAACACAGTCGCACACACGATTGGTCGACACTAACCTTGCCTTACCGTGCTTATTCCATTGGTGCTTCGTTTCGGCACTTTTGGCCACTGGAAAGAAGGAAGCCGGAATTAAGCGGTTACACGCTACTGCTGCGTGTTCTGTTGCGCCCATCGAGCTACGGGCCATTCTTAAAACATACTACACTGGTTTTGCATAAAATTGGCATCAATGATGAATACTCAACTGGAGAAGTATAACTGCGATAAGTAACACACCGTCTTCTGGCCCCACACTTGGTTGGGAATAGCACCGTGTTATGGGTGACAGCATAACCCAGACTGTTGTTTGTATCTGCTGAAACACATAATTTAACTGGTGGGTGTGCACCTTTGCATTACTCCTTGATGACTTCACCTACCTTAAGTTTCATCACCAACCTCGAGCGCATAAACAATTCAGTCAGTTTACGTATTGTAAAAGCTGGAACAACCATGAACCTGCAACAGCTTTGGCGACAGAAAAGAGTTTCCCTCTGCCTGAAAAGCTATGTTTACAGCGACACAGTGAGGGCCATACAACTTTATGGGAGTGAGATTTGACCCCCTTTATTTGGTGATCAGAGGCGCCTTCAAGTCCTTGATCATCGTTGTCCGCTAAGTAGTATTGAAGTCGGATGGCAATAGGAATGTTTCTGCTGCTGCTGCTGCTGCTGCTGCTGCTGATGATGATGATGATGATGATGATGATGATGATGATGATGATGATGATGATGATGATGATGATGCTGATGCTGATGATGATGATGCTGATGCTGATGCTGATGATGATGATGATGATGATGCTGATGCTGCTGCTGCTGCTGCTGCTGATGATGATGATGATGCTGCTGCCGCTGCTGCTGCTGCTGCTGATGATGATGATGATGATGATGATGATGATGATGATGATGATGATGATGATGATGATGATGATGATGATGATGATGATGATGATGATGATGATGATGATGATGATGATGATGATGATGATGATGATGATGATGATGATGATGATGATGATGATGATGATGATGATGATGATGATGATGATGAGAACTGAGAACTGAGAACTGGTGGGAAGCAGCGAGTAGAGGTTGCTCTGTGTAGCTGCATCATTCGTCGTTTTCGGACATGAACTCTTTATTTATCGTTTCGCTCTTTGTACTTTGCCTCTGCAAATTGTTGGTCTAGTAGCATCTTGAATTTAGCCACTGTGTTCGCTTCTACTATATGCTGAGGCAGGTCGTTCCAGACATTCACCACTCTGCGTTCGAAACAGAGTTGATGGGCGACCCGCTTCAAATCCGGGACGATAAGTTTATACCGGTGTCCTCGCGTGCAGCTTGGTGTGCGCAGATGAAGTAGTTGTCTCAACATGGGGTAATCACCCAGATGTAATATTCGGTGCGTCATGATGAGGTCAACCCTCAGCCGACGATAAGATAGGGTGTATAACCCTAGTTTCTTACATCGGTCTTCGTATGGCATACCTCGTAAGTTGGGAATCAGCCTAGTGGCTACATGCTGCACCCGCTCAAGCTTTTCTACTTCGCCCCGGGTGATGGGACAGTATGCGGGAGTGCCGTACTCTAGCATTGGTCGTATTATCGAGACGAAGAGGCGAGTGGCAATCTCTTCGGACCAAGTGCTAAAGCTGCGCCTGAGAGCCCAAAGCATACGAAGGCTGTTTTGGTACAGCCTATTCGTGTTGTCAATGGACTTTAGGTCGCAGCGTGAGAGTACACCGAGGTCGCGCACGAAAGGAGCGGGATGCAACGGTTGTCCAGCCACTGTGTACGTTCGGCCGTGATCACACTTACCCAACCTCATGAATTGCGACTTGGCAGGGTTGATCGGAAGGTTAACCTCTGCAGACCATGTTGAGAGGCGGTCGAGATCCTGCTGAAGTAAATCGCAATCATTGAGTGTGCGGATTACTCTCCACACTTTCAAGTCATCTGCGAACAAAGCACAATGTGATTGTAGTAGCTGAGGCACATCGTTTATATGGATTAGAAACAATATCGGGCCCAGTACAGTGCCTTGGGGCACGCCGCTGCTCGATGGATACCAGTCTGTTAGATGGTTGTCCACCTGGACTCTCCACTTCGATCAATAAGGAAATTGCTGATCCATTTGTGCAGCGAACCACCAACACCGCACATCCTCAGTCTGTCAAGGAGCACTGCATGGTTAACCTTGTCAAAAGCCTTACTGAAGTCAATGTAAATGACGTCAACCGATTGGCCTTTGTTCAGCGCTTGTAACCATTCGTGCCTCGTCAACAGTAGGTTGGTGATGCACGAACGACCTTTCAGGAAACCATGCTGTGCGGAGGTTAACAGGTTTTTCGACTCGAGAAGTTGCAGAAGGCTCTTCTTCACGATCTTCTCGAGCGTCTTTGCCAAAACTGCCGTCAGGCAGATCGGCCGGTAGTTATCCACTTTGCTTGGGTTACCACCTTTCGGGATAGGCTTTACGACTGAGCATTTCCAGTCGTCCGGTAGTAGACCAGTGGATAGTGACCTGTTAAACAGTTCAGTTACAGAAGGTGCAATTATGGTCGATAATGACTTGAGGATTAGTGGGTGTATACCATCTGGCCCAGCAGGTTTCGTCCCGTCAAGATTTGCTAGAATCTTGCGTACATCCTCAATATTGCAGTCCAGGCTGTTAAGTTCGGCTGGAGCGGTGCTCGTCGAACTCATTACAGACACCTGGTCACTTGCGAATACGGAGGCGAAGTGCGTTGCCAATGCTGACGCACGATCTGTACTTGAGGTTAGAGGCTGTCCTTCTGAGCCTTCTAACATTGGAATACTAGCTATAGGCCTTAGGCGCCGCTTCACATATGCGAAGATCCTCTTGGGAGCAGTTTTTGCGGCAGTTGCAAGCTCCTCTTCGAAGCTTCTGCGTTTTCTTGTTTTCGCGTTGTTGCAGCGATTTCGTTGTACCTTGTAGGCATTGTAGTCCTCATCAGAGCCAGATAACACGATGATGATGATGATGATGATGATGATGATGATGATGATGATGATGATGATGATGATGATGATGATGATGATGATGATGATGATGATGATGATGATGATGATGATGATGATGATGATGATGATGATGATGATGATGATGATGATGATGATGATGATGATGATGATGATGATGATGATGATGATGATGATGATGATGATGATGATGATGATGATGATGATGATGATGATGATGATGATGATGATGATGATGATGATGATGATGATGATGATGATGATGATGATGATGATGATGATGATGATGATGATGATGATGATGATGATGATGATGATGATGATGATGATGATGATGATGATGATGATGATGATGATGATGATGATGATGATGATGATGATGATGATGATGATGATGATGATGATGATGATGATGATGATGATGATGATGATGATGATGATGATGATGATGATGATGATGATGATGATGATGATGATGATGATGATGATGATGATGATGATGATGATGATGATGATGATGATGATGATGATGATGATGATGATGATGATGATGATGATGATGATGATGATGATGATGATGATGATGATGATGATGATGATGATGATGATGATGATGATGATGATGATGATGATGATGATGATGATGATGATGATGATGATGATGATGATGATGATGATGATGATGATGATGATGATGATGATGATGATGATGATGATGATGATGATGATGATGATGATGATGATGATGATGATGATGATGATGATGATGATGATGATGATGATGATGATGATGATGATGATGATGATGATGATGATGATGATGATGATGATGATGATGATGATGATGATGATGAAGATGCGTATGATGATGAGGCTGGTGATCGGATAGGCTCCAAACAGAAAGCTCGGTTTAACTAATATAAAGAACTGTAACTACCCATGCGGTAGCGTTATGTGCGCTCCCAGATAGTGATTGGATAATGCATCGTGGTTGGCAACTAATGACGTGGAGATGGAGTATGAAGAAGTTAAACTCAAGCTTAGCATCCGTTAGATCGGCCCACCTTCAAGGATGGGGACCACGGAACTCGGACTGCCTGTTGTCGGAAACGCTGTAGGTTATGGCGCGAAACAGCGAACAGTGGTAACAATATTGTTCAAGCGTATGATTTGTTAATGTCTAATCGAACAGATGTATAAAATTCACAAAAAGCACAAAATGACGTGTGTATAACCCGAAAGGTTTTCTTCGTTTGCGCTTTTGTCTTTAGTTGCCACGTTCTTGTGCGTGAATTATAATCGTGACTTCTACTTTCCACAGACTTTATCCTACTCACAAACATCCAGGTTATATATATATATATATATATATATATATATATATATATGATTGCGCTTAGATCGTGCTTGAATAAGAGTTTAAGATAGCAAAATTGTCCTGAAATTCGGTCGTAACAACCACTAAATTAACGCGTCGATCGAACTTAGGGTTCCGTTTTACACCGTATTCTAACAATTGCAATTCATGTGGAACAGCTTAGAAGAAGGTACTGTTTCTCGTCCTTTATTCGTCTCTGGGTTTGATACGCGGTATGGCAAGGAATGCGCATACTATGCGTTTCACCTTAAGGTTTCAACTCAGCTTCATCCCGACTCCCCTGATGCAACATCTATGATACGTTGCAAGCTGGGTCACCGAACTGGATGCACTATCACAAGAAAAACAACAACCGGTGCACAAACTCCAACTGGAGTGGTCAAGCAACGACTTGAGGAACAGTATTTTCGTTTGTCTTGTAAGCGCACCCAGCAGATTTGCACCATCTACTCTTCGATGTTGCAAGAAACTTTTCTAAACCACGTTGCAAGAGAAAGCGCCATTTGCACCATGCTAAAGTATAAGTTGCAGAATAATGTGCGTCCTAAATGGAATATTCTCGGGAAAGACAAAATGCTTTGCCATCCTGGTTTAAGCATTAATATAGTTTTCATCCCTGTGTGACTGGTGGACATTTATCCCATTGGATCTACAAGTCTCATCCGCTCCGGCTGCTGGGGAGCCGCTCAGGAACGAGCTAACGAAGAATGGTTCACTGAAAGAGGTCGGCATCCAGTTGGCAACATACAGCCTCCTTACATCGGCCGAGTCGGGCTGAATAATGAGAGTCAGTCCACCCAGCTGTGTAGCCACCACATACGTGACGATTCGCAAAAGAGCAGGAAACTCCAGATTGATTGCGCAAATCTTTCTACACGACTTCAGGGGATGCATCAACAAACCCAATGTGAACGTGGTCAGTTTGAGATGAAAAACCAATCTGCCGATTGGATTGGCGACTGCGCCATCCCATAGTATTGGCGTTACATGATTAATGTGGTGAGTAGGTTACATTTGTCAAAATGCTTTCAATCCGAAGAAAATAACTCTCTGCATTGATCAGCGCTGAAGCACGCTTGACTCACTTTTGCCGAATTGCTTTCCAATGAAATTTCTAACGAACAGCCGTCAGCGTCTTTGTGGAAAAATAAAGGAAACGTGAGAGATTAATGGACACTGGATAGGAATGGGCAGAAAACGGCTGATTCGGTAGCACTGTTAAGTGACAAGGTTGACGCAAGTACCGTCGTAGATGTTCCACTTTTAATCAGCTTTCTGGAATATGAGAGAACCATTTTTAGCTGCACACTGTTATTTTATCACCAGACAGAACAATCCATACCTTTTTTCAACTCTGCACCGTTCCCCTAAATTTTTGCATCGGTCAGGCTTGAAGCTGCATCGCGTGCGCCATGTGACACGTTACACAGTTTGTAACAACTGTGTGACCGTGCAAAGTATTCTAGACTTTTGAACCATAATTGTTATTCAGAGGAAGTTTGATTTAAACTAAATGGACGGGGGGAACGATATAGCTGCGTCTTCTGGTCAGATCCAAGTCCACGTAAGACAACCTCCTTAGTGAGTTTTGAATGCGCATGCTGTTTTTTCGCCTCGCCTTCTAAATCGTTCTTCCGCATTTCCGAACAGCACTAGATGTCCGTTTCGCCCAATTGGGTCTTATCAGTAGGGACCCAAAATTAATCACCAGCGGCTTGCACCGTCAGTCAGTAATTTATAGGCAACAACCACAAGATAGACCGGTCCAAGAGCCTATGCATAAACAACTGAAGCTTCTCAGTACCCCCAGAAAAATCCGACAATGTTCCAGAGACTTGGCCCTTCTCAAATAAGAGTATGGTAATTTACTTTTCTTAGGTAAGCTGCTTATGTAGACGGTGAACAGCAGCAACGTCAAAACTGAACACTTCGAGGCTGCTAAAGCCAGCTTGTCGAAATGAAAGACTGCATCCAACGCGTGAATATTGTTCCCATCCAATCAGCAAAACTACCACCCACTGAAGGACGTGACCAGATATTCTCCGGGATCCTTGTACTTTAGTGAGAGCTGGGAATGGGAGACAGTGTCATAGGCCTTAGGGCAGTCAATGCATGGCAAGTCCATCGCATGTCCACCGTCAACTACTTCAGCCTAACTCTCATGAACTAAAATTACGTTCGTTAGAAATGAAAATCCTTTACGAAATCCCTGCTGTAGGACACTGAGAAACTTGTAATTATTCAAATAGTTCTGCACTGAATATCTTACCGAATTTACTGTACTTTAACCACCACCCTAGTCAAGCTGGCAGTCCTATAATTAGCCGCTAGGACGTTGTCACCACTCTTGAAAATCGGGTAGATCAGAGCCTTTCATTCGGGAGCCAAGACATAGATGCTGAGTGACTTCTGAAACACGGAAGTCAGAGTCCCACTGAGTTCCGCTGCCAATTCGTGCAGCAGTTTAGGATTGGGATAATTTGGCCAGGAAGCCTTAGTGGGGTTCACCTCTCACAACAATCGGAGAGCTTGAGACTCCGTCGTACTAATTTCGTGTTGTCAAGTGTCTTCAAAAACCCGAGACTAGTTCTGTGCCCGCCATAGATATTTCTCAGGCAAAGACGCTTGAATACTACTCGTCAAAGCAGCTATTACCATGGATCCCGTCCGTTCAAAGCAAAGTTGGAACGGGCAATTTCAAAGCACCACGTTGCTTAATGTAGGCAAAGAATTTTTGGGGGTTAGGAGAGACAGTCTACGCTTTGCAGTGCCGTCTCATGCTGAAACCGGGTCAAAGTAAAATGTCGCTTGCACTTATCACGAGACATCCGATACCTGTCAGATGTGCTCCTTACCTACGCCAGCATTCAGACCGCTTCTTCAGCAAGCCCTTCCCCATGAGAACTATCTATGGATCCTACGCTCACGAGTCCTTTTTCTTTACCAGTGTGATATGAGATGCGGAAGTATCGACGGAGTAGGCTTCAAAATTTTCCATGGTTACATGAATAGTGTCAGACAGCACACAAAGTGATGACGAAGTTCTGTCGAGCATCGCTTGGAACTTCGCGGTCCAAATGCTGAGGTGCCAATCATTAGTGGCTTTGTAAGTCCAAGTAAATACATAATGAAGAAACAAACAATCGTGATCATCTTAACGTAATGTCACATCCGAAGTCAAGGGATTTAGCGAGGACAGTATTTACTACGCATGTCTTTTGGTTGCTCATGTACTTGGTGAGTATGTCCAAGAATTGGTGTAATGATAACTGCAGCCTCAAGTCCAACAGGTTCGCTGTGTCGTCGTCAGGAGAAACCGGATTGAGACACCCTTGTTTTAAATAAGAGTGATCCAGCAAACTTTTGAAATCATTGACAAAAAATCGGTCGTTGACTAGACCTCAAGTTCTTACGAGTCAGTGTTAATGCAGCTGTGCAGTTAATGCGCTTTTTATCTCGGGTCTTAAACTGTGAAGCTGCTTACCACAATTCTGCTTCGTCAAGTCAGATAGAAGACATAGGTTGCGATGTGTTAACACTTCGATTGTTTTCTTCAGTCGCAAACAGATAACCCAGTATGTACATGGAAAAATAAGTAATACCAGTCGATTCACCCTAGTCTGTAGGTATCCCATGAAATGGAACAACACGGTTGCCTGCCGTTTGGGATATACTCATTAGGAGATCGGCTGAAGGTACAGTGCAGCGCACTGTTCACCACCAATCGAATGCAGTGGACAGTAACATTTCTTAAGCTTCGCCCTGGTCGCATACAAACGAGGCTTAGTGAAAACTCTATTCTACCGAACTCGACATATCTGTAGCTCCAAAACGTTAAATGATAACGAAGAAATTCTACGCAATTCTACGCAATCCTAATGGGTATTCTGAGAAGCGTATTAAGGTACACAACAGACCTCCCAGTAGGAAAACACCGGTGGTGACGGCAGAGAAAAAGGACGCATTTTGTTTTTGCCTTTCAAGGGGGACCATGTGCCAAGTAATATCGGACACAAGCTCTGGTCCACCCTAAAGTGCAACTACAGGGTGTTTTATTAATCATGTCCGGAGCTAGGAGCGGATGCACTCAGGTGCTGACGTACCCCGGTACGCTGAATTGCTAACTGTCCACTGGCACAAATTGCTTTGCCCGCATGGGTGAGCTGGGGCACAGAGACGCGACATGTGTGTCTACGATCACAGAGCACCCTGAGCCGTTCGGCTGTGAGAATTGAACGTTAGCCAGACACTACAGCCGCATGAGTGTCATGCTTCGATCGATCGGTAGTCGGTCTTCACGCAGGTGAAAAAGCTAGCAAAAGGGTTCCCTGCGGAGTGGTTAACGGGTCGCTGTGCTAAAAATGGAGCAGGAGCAGCAGGACCGACAGAATGACCTGCGCGATCACCGGGTCTGAAAACCACGGATTTTTCCCTATGGGGATACTTGAAGCGCAGAGTTTATAGAACGAAACTCAAAAACCTGAAGGAACTGCAAGAGAACGTTATGAACGAATGTAGGCAGATTTCGTTGGAGACATTGCAGAAAGTGTTCCTCAACACCATCCGGCGAATGCTCCTCTGTAGTCAAGACGACGGAGGGCACTACAAACATCTAATTCGTGTATATCTACAGACATTTCCCACCTTTTATGTAAATATAAGTAAAATAATGAAATATATATTCTCCATTTTACACGAGAAAAACCATCGAAGGTCTGATCAATTTGCACAACTAGCAATTGTCTGATGGTAAGCGTAATAGTTGTATTCATGGCTAAATTGGTGGGCTATCTAATGGTGCCACTAGTTCGTCGGGGCAGAATGAAATCTAAGAGCATTGTAACGTCGAAGCAGGTATTCGCTTTTATGCACCAATGAAGGATGAGTTTTCAGCTGTAACACACGTGATCGAAACGATAAAACGGACAACACTGTAACCTTACAACGTGCTCCAGGCAGTATGATTCCCTTTAGCAGCGAAAGCAGTCTAATAAAAGCTTACGGGTTTCGCTGGCTTTTTCCCCTAGGTGAAGACCGACTACCGATCGATCGAAGCATGACACGTTCAATGCGGCTATGGTGTCTGGCTAACGTTCAATTCCCACAACCGAACGTCTCGGTGTGCCCTGCGATCATAGACACATACGTCGCGCCTCTGTGCTCCACCTCATCCCTGCCGGCAAAGCAATTTCGCCATTGGACCGTTAGCAATTCACCGTACCTGGGTACGTCAGCAGCTGAGTGCGTCCGCTCCTAGCTTCGGACATGCTTGCTAAAACACCATGTACACGACCGCCCTGTTGCGACTAATGCATAACCTGCGAGGACTTGTCCTTCATAACCGTGGGGGGCATCTCCTCGAGCAGTTCGGCTTCTCACGTTGTTTGTCAGTTCATCTGCAGTTACGGTGACAGTTACATAGGCAGAACCGACAGGCAGTTTAGACGGTAGCTGAACATTTCCATAGTGGTTAGGTTAAGTGATGAAACAACGAAACGAGGCGGACCTGAGGCTTAGTCGTAGTCCAGTATCGTCTACCACCTAGCTTCTCATGTCAACCCGTCATCAGGCGAACCCTGAGACCGCGTTCAAAGAGTTGTTGCGCAACGAAAACCCAATAATATTGGCAAGTATTGGGGCGTTGCTAATTAGGGCCCATCATTCTGTGCTACGTGCACAGAAAAGCTTGAGGTAATCGATTCTGTTTCCTTGGTCTTGACTATGACATTGTGATTGGTGTTGCATATTTTTCCACGTATGTAATCGTTTATGCGTTTCTGCTCGCATTACGATTACGACTGAAGAGAACAATCGTAATATTGACATATCGCAAGTCATGTCTTCTCTCTGCCTTAACGAAATGGTCGTAGCGGATCCACTGTTTTAATAATACTGCTTACTTAATTGCGCCGTTGCTGAGCAGCTGGTTTCCATCAAGTGCTGTTATTTCCTTGACGCTTCTGGGTAATCCATTCGTAGATGTTAATCTTTTGCTAAACTGACTCTGGGATCATATCATCGATCAGGTTTATGCCAGCTGCGTGTGCGGAAACAACGAAGATTATCACTTCTCACTTGGAATGCTAGTCAGTCAGTGCGTCTGATGCATTCTCTTGCCCCATCTTAGTTCACACCAGTGTACTCAAACTTGCGATATAAAATGCTAAGATTCTGGGTACTCTGGAAGCAGTAGAAACGTAATCAGCGTTTATTTCTAAAGTCATGTCTAAAGCCACTACGAAGCCCCTGTACGTTATCAACTGATTCAGCCAATCAGGAGAACCCTGCTTGGCTCGATGTGGGCCTATATAAGCGGGAAATAGTTGCCGGAAATAGGCTGTTCGAATTGCGATAAAGCTCTCCGTAATAGCCCCAAGATTTGGATCACTTTTTTTCGATGGTTTTTTGGACTGCTCTGAACAGCCGAGATCTTCCTAGACCAATATACGAAGATAGTTTTCGAGAGACCGGTGTTGCAGATCCTGGTTCCCAGCTTATATGTGTGAACTATTCGGTGTCTTAAATGGAGCACTTGACATTTACACACATTGAAGAAAAGGCGGTTTTGGACCGGTCATTCATAGATAGTTCAAGGTCGTTTTGAAGGTGGATACGGCCTTCTGGAGCTCTGATCACTCGCTAAACGTTGGTGTCGTCGGTGTAGTAAACAGTTTGACGCAGTTTGACTCACTAGGTCGTTTATGAAGAGCAAGAATAGACAGCATACAGGTACCGAACCCTATGGCACTCCGCATTCGACCTGAATTGGGTCTGACCTGGATTCGCCTACTCTCACATTCAGATGCCTGTGCGAGAGAGAATTGCAGATCCACCCGAGGTGAGGGTCCCCAATGCCACATCTTTGAAGTTTGGCAAGAAGGATACAATGGTCCAACCGGTCGAATGCCTTAGAGAAACCAACGTAAGCCACATCAACTCCTGCATCAGCGTCCACAGTTTCGGTCCAGCTTTATCGTGCTAACAATAGATTGGTTGTGCTCGACCGATTCTGGCGGGAGCCGTGTTGCTGCTGAGCAATGTAACCAAAGCCGTCCAGATAAGACACGAGTGCCTCGGCAATGATAGCCTCCATTGCGTTTGAAAAAACTGGCAGTAGAGTCACTGGTCGATAATTAGCTGGGTCGGAGCGACTACCCTCTTTGTAAATGAGAGTTATTATCCCATGTTTTACATTGGAGCAACTTGCCTCTCGTCAAGGCAGTGCTGGAACAGCCGCGCCTAGCGTTCAGCCAAAAGGTTAGCCGCCACAACTAGTGATCTTGGGCGGTTGTCGTTAATTCCTGGACAGGCGTGCAGGCGCATAGATAGCAGCTTTCTCACCACAGTGTCTACCGTAACTTTTACATGAGTGAATCCAGCTGGAAGCACCATAATTTCGAAGGCTTCAGGAGACCACGGGATGCAGTGAAAGGTTGGTGCATATTGATGTTGTAGAACATTCGACGCTTCTTTAGCAGTCCGAGTTAGACCACCCGCTTTTTGAAGTGGGGGAAATCCACTTTTCACCTTGCGGAGGCTGTTCATGTGCTTGTACAGTAACTTAGAATTTGAAGTTAATCGCTCGGCTAAAGCATGTTGATAAGCTACATTGTCCTCGCGCACTAATTGGGTACAGTGGTTACGGTGGACAAAATATGCCTTCCAGGTTCTCTGACTCGGATCGGTTTTGTGGGTATACCACGCCGCGTTGCACATCACAATACGTTTGCGTCTTCTACTCCGTTTAAACGACGCCATGCTTCTCGAACTGATAGTCTTGTTTTTCGATGCTCCACTAACCAAGGTGTTAAATTTACTGACGAAAAGTTCCCAGACAATATCGGGTGCATCCTCGATTAAGAAAATCCAGTCGGTCGCCTCAACGAGTAGGGTTAAGATGTCGTATCTGGTTATGGCGCGAGCCGGTTGAGTTCTGTCCTCGGGGTATTCAGCATAGCAAGTGTACATGAAATGCAAACTCGCATGATCATTGCGGCCTAGAGGAGTATCGATCTTCACGCTTTCGATCATCAGTTCTTCACTAGTGAATATCCGGTCAAATATGGATGGCCTGTTAGTTCCCCTGAATCTGGTGGGTAAACTGTAATTGTCATAAAGCGGAAAGTCTGAGACAAGATTTTGCAGGTCTGCTTTGAATTGCTCTCCTGGTGTGGCTTGGGATTCTAGAGCAGGTAAGTTAAAATCGCCAGTAACAAGAAGCTGTCTGTACTTTCTGCTTATCACCCGCCTCAATGCAGCCACCAAGTTGCACTCTATCTTAGGCGTAGACGATGGTGGTCGGTAAACAACAACCACTAGGCCAAGATCGTTCCCTCTCAGCCGGAAGCTGCACCAAATGGAGTCAGGTACATCGGTTTCTGAATTGTGTATGGGTTTGCACTACAGCTTGTTACGAAAGTAGAAGCCTACCCAACCACCTTTGCTGGCTCGATCGTTCCGGAAGACGGACATACCTGTTAGCGCGATTTTGGCCTCCGTTATCTCACTTCGCAACCCCGTTTCCGTGATAGCAATGAGGTCCCAAGCTGCTGACGCGTGTCGAAGTCTTAATGCAGCTAATTTGCATTTTGTTAAGTCTTTCATTCCAGTACTTCACAAGCTGCATAGCAAACTGTAGTCCGGAAAACACCAGACGCGTTTCGCCTTATTGGGGCTCGTCAGTGGTGCGCATTCCCTCGGTCCCCTACCGGTGCTTTTCCGGACTAGGCTCTGCTATGTAGATTGTGAACTATTGGGATGAAAGCCTTAACAAAATTACAATTAAAATCCTGCTATTCGCGAGTAATATAATTTGCATTTGTGTACATGCATGAGAGATTCTCGGAGACCAAAAGTGTGTTGGGTGGAATGGATGCAGAAAGCGAGTTTACGCCGACCGATGTAATATCGGCGGCTAATCCTTTTTTGGATGGGTTGCAGGCTCGCGAGGCGAATTTGGTAGATTTTCAAGTATGAGATGCCCCGGATCCCGGGGTCGCTCGTGCTCTACTGTGTCGCTTCGGGGGTTATGGCTACTGTTGAAACCGTCACCGAATCAGGTCTTACAGTTGGTATTTTCACTGAAAGTTGTGCCCAACTGGGCTGTCAGTAGAAGGTGGTTGTGTTCCAGACTGCTGCTTTCAGACTAATTTCGGTTGGAAACGTGTTACGGAATTTAGTCCAGTTCTCTGGAAGAGTCTGTGCCGTTAGTTCTGGTTGCAACACCAGTTTCAACATCCTGGGACCGCAACCGTTATAGTTCGGTGATAAGGGCACCCTTGTCAACAAGATGACCACGACATTTTCCAGAGAAACAGCCTCACTTATGTAGTGCCACTGATCCCAGTTGTGTATCTGCGCATCGTCAAAAGAAGAATCAGTAAGCTCAGGACCACCGTGAGCAAGCGCAGTTTTCTTATCTTCACTTTTTCCGTTCCTCTCTTTGTTAGTTGGATCTGCTGCACATTCTTTCCACGGGATTTCAGGTAGCATGCGCACTCCACTTGAGGAGTTGCGAAGTCGATTCGTAGACAGCAGAACGGCCTCTGTCTCATGCACTAAGTTTAGTGCCACCCGAGGTAACCGGGGTTCACCGTAGTGCAATGCGGTTGGGTAACTCGAGATGCGTTTTAATGTCGTGGGATCAGCGTGGACACCGATCGTCGTAGATGGAACTCCATTGATTTCAATCGTCTGTCATCCTACCCTTAATTATATTGCATTTGCATCCGGGGACTTTAGTGCACACAAGGTTTAAGGCACCATGGTTGCGCTTGGTGGCTACTGGTTTTAGAGCCTTAGTATCTAGTGCCTCTGGTGAATTTGTGAACGGCACTGCTAGGGGCCATCCGTGCTGCGACACTTTAGTTTCCTCTAGTCCGGCCACCAAGGTTACCGGTGCAATTGCCGGTGTTCGTTTGGCGGCAACCGATGCGTAGGTTTCCTGGTTCCTCACTATGGCTGGTTGACTGCAGCTTAGTGTTTCCCGTATGGCGAGCAAACTACTAGGCGTAACACACGGTAGAGAGAAGTTGAAACGTGAACGCTGCAGACAGTGCTTTTACTTATGGGAGAAAGTGAGAAGAGAATGGATACTGATTGAGTCTGAGACGTTGGAGTAAGGTTGGGACGCCTGACTCTCTTCGTTAGCCTGAATGGGGAATGTGGGTTGTTTTTTCACATACAACTGCAGGTTCGTTGCCTCCAATTGGTATAACGCTGGAGCTCACCAGTTGTTCGACTAGTTGGCCTCAGCCCCTAGCAGTCATGGGTTCGGTCCTCAGTAGGCGACTGAGGGGTGCGCACAACTGAAGAGCTCCAATAGGGCGAAACGCGCGTCTGGTGCTTTTGCGGATTAAGGTTGTGCTATGTAGTCGGTGCTCTGTTATGATGAATACATTCAAATTAAACAGGCTAATTTTTCAAAGGCCCTACGCCAATGTCCCAACTAGCCGCATTTCGTCTAGAGTCGCTTTATTTTGTTCATTGACGGTGGTAGACGACTTCCAATTTCTATGAGTGTTGGATCAATTCCTTAGCAGTATAATCACTGTGAATTTTGAATGGTAGTAAAAAAGATGCAACTTACCCACTTCACACTCTTTGTTTGTACTTGGTGTGCTGCTTATACACTTTTCTCTAAAGCACAGTTCATTGACCAGTTTGTTCACGTTTTGACAAATTTGCTCACAATGAGTCTGCAGATTGGAATGTGAGGTGACACCGGTTTGATCAGGTCGATGAGATATCTAAATCTAGGAATGTCCAGACATCGCGCTTTGCTTTAAACCCCCCCCCCCCTATACGCATACTACATTACACGAGTTGGCTAACGCACCTGAAGCTTCGTAGAATCATATGGCGCTACATTGATTAATTGATCCTAGATTTCTCCCTTCTACTCTGACTAAAATTGCATTAAGTATAGGGTTGCTGCTAATCCCGGATAACTTGACCTGTAGTAGTTTATGCCATTATGCAAGAATGTGTAGTAAAGGCTTGATTTTGGTTGATGGCTGCAACTGCTACACCCCCTTTCACTTTCGTTCACTTTACATGAAACCGCAGCCAGCTTCGTTTCCGCGAACCGCACCGGAACTAAACAATTGAGAATGCCTATGTAGTGGTAGGAAACGACAGTGAAAGCCCCAACTGAAGCTTATCAAAAAAAAACGTACCGATTACACCCCGGCATAATCAACTGAACTGTTTCCCAGCTTGAATTACTTGATATAGTGCGTTCCACTTGGAGGACGAAACAACGCAAACCTAACTATGTGCTTAACGTCCCTCTCCGCAACTTGGCGGTGAGGATACGTGCAGAAGTGTCCATGTGATTACCCTGGATGTAGCCAAACTGCATTAACATATCACATCTGTCAAATATAGAAACACAAGAGTGAGGGTTGTCATTTCATTTTTGTATTTCTCACGCACGTACTGAACTATAACACCTCTCTAGACTATTTCGTGTGTGTAGATCCCATTCCCACCTCAAACTATCGTTATGCAGTAGGGCCTTTAAATCGGTTGACGCTTAAAATAAAGATTAACTTATTCGATGATCCTTTAAATGTTAAGTTTTACTCCAGCAATCCTACGGGATTAGTCATGCACATGTCTTTTTATCCATGATAAATCATTGTTCGTTGTTTATCAACCACTGTAAGTCCTGCATACGTAAATACGATCGCTCACTGTGGGTACGGTTTCTCGGTAGCACGAGAAGTATACATTATTATTATTATTACTATTATTAATAAAGGGACTTAATAAATTCTCGCTTGCTGTAGATAGCTAGACACTTTTAAGACTGGATTACGATGGATCGTAAGAATAGGACTGTGGATGGTACTATCTAGCCGAGAAAACATTAATCATGAACTAAATATTATCACGTGTTCGAGTGCGGTAAGTTAAGCACTCAAGAGTCTGGGCCAAACTAGTCCATACACAGAGGTCCGGATACATGGGGTTTATATGTGGCAATTTTATGTATTGAAGAAAAAGACGGTTAACGTACAAAGTTGCTTAGGATATGGAGGTGGTCAAATTCGGAGGGTTTACTGTAGGACAATGCGGTGTCCTCAATCATAGATGGTGCAAATTATCACTTGGTGCTACCATCCCTTTAGCCCAACTATGCGTGGATTGGTTGTTATCTTTCACACCAGCTAGGCAATCACCTCCTATACCCCGGGACGTAAGACGTAGATTCAGCGAATCATGTGCCGTGAAGCAGTTGGTTTACAAACTGCATGCAATCCATACTTGTTCTGTTTACTTGGCTAAGTAGTGTAAACAAGCCGTGAAGATTAGAGATATAACCATGTCGTTAGCCGTTTCAGAAATCTGACCTATAAGATGCAGCGCGAAGCCCATCGTACTTTAAGTATTGTTTACAAAGAGCATGTGCTTTTATTCAAAAACGTCAAACTACTTAATTGGCTTCGGTTACGTATGCATCACAGGAGCCCAACTGTTGCACAACAAATTGACACAATGATTACTGGCATCGGAGTTCAAACTAGTTTGAACCAGTGATTGTTCAGCTGACGAGGTTCGCAGAGTTTGGTGAGTTAGTTGCAGACGTTTCGTCCGAATTCGACGTGAAAACTTTGGTGTATGGTTGTTAGTAGTTTCCCGCCAGGAGTGGATCAATTACTAGATTTACTTTTGAGGCATGACAACGTTATAGTCTTGTTTACTTCACAAAATTAATTCATCCGCTTTTGATTGTCACTTTCTCAGACTATACACCCTTTGCTCGGATCTGCTTGTAAAGTCGCACAGACCAATGTGCGCTTGGTAAGCCGATCACGTGGAAACAATTCGTAGCTAATTCACTGAAAATACTGCGCCAAGCTATGCGATCTAACCTTTTGTTACGTTGTATTAAGTCCATCCACTAGTCGACCAAGGACATGCACCATGGACCAGGTGCATTGGGGTAATAAAGACTCAGTTGTGAGCAGTTTTATATCAAAAGAATACAACAGATGACATAAAATGACAAACTAAAATGATAATAAGACCTATTGGTTTTCAAAATTAGATTCGCATGGTAACTGCGCACACACAGGTGCCAAAAACATCCATACCTTCCACAGATCGTCACTTCGCCCGAATGAGTCCGTTGATCCACCTAAAAGAGAGCGTTGCGAAAAGAATATCTGAGGCAATATTAGGTTATAAAAATACGCGACTGCTCACTAGCATTTTTCTTTTGAAAATTTACTGCTAACCAGCCGTCAGTCTATGCTTCGTGTCGCCAGTTTATATCGGGCCACCACTAGAGTGGCCTGAGATGACAAATCTATATCCTTTTACCGTCTCTTGTAATTGGATTATCAGAAGTTGTTGCACGGATAATTCAGATCAAGACATGGCTTCATCTCCTTATTCATTCATGGAACAATGGCTAAACGATTGGGCGTATGGCGCAGCAGCTAAAGTACAAGCAATGTTACTGCATTTTGCACACACTAACAGACACGAACATCTTGTTTGTGCGCCGATCGACACTGGAGCGTTGCATATGCGCTCGGGTGCTCTTGAATCGATACTGCATGGCTAAACCAGTTAGGATCTGGCAACAAGCCTTCTGGGTGGGTTGAGGAGGAGGATGATTATGAGAAGGAGGAGGAGAGGAGGAGGAGGAAGAGGAGGAGGAGGCGGAAGAGGAGGAGGTTGAGGAGGAGAAGGGGAGGAGGAGGTGGAGGAGGAGAGGGAGGAGGAGGAGGAGAAGGAGGAGGAGGAGGTGGTGGATGGTGGTGGTGATAATGATTATGTGATGGGAGGATGAAATTGTAAACATTTGTGAGCTATACACATCAAATTATGACCGATGCCTATTTCGTGTTAACATGGTCTGCCTCGGCGTATGTAATGCTAAGCACGCATTATGACGGTGACCCGAGAATCCGTTAGCTTATGACATGAAGGTTATTGTGAGTTGGCTTACACAAGTCATCAATTAGGTCAATAGTCCATTCTGAGTTAAATGAACACTCAGCATGTATAAACGGTGTGGGGACTGCAGACCCAAAATTCCTACGCTCAAAAATGCCTTAAGCAGCGCTTAGAAGTTAAACTATTTTTGGGCTACATCAGCTGACCTCAGTGAACAGCAGACCGAGCAAAACACTTACGTCGTATAGTGACCATTCTGGGCAATTTGAAATGAATTCGGTGATCTGCGATAGGCGACAGGTCAGGCGGTGTAGATGACGATGGTGGATGGAGGACCAAGTGGTGAGTTTCCACATACCCAACGGAACCTTCGCGAGCACTCCTCAGAATACACGAGAACACCAGATGCTGTGGCATGCAGATAGAAAACCAAGAAGATTTGCATTTTCACCCGAAGAAACATTTTCAGTCGTATGTCATATTTACCTGCGACTATTACTACCAGGTGTACCACCGGAGGAACCGTTGTAAAACAGCGTTCAACAGTTCGTTTGAAAAGATGGACATGGAAATTAGACACCAACACTTAGTGCCTATTGTCTACCTCGTAAGAGCTTGATGCTACTCTACCGTCCAGGTCAACACCAACCCAGATCCATCTAAATCTCCTCCACTGTGCGCCGAAGGACGTCGGCCACACATAGCCTGGTAACAATGCCTGCGCAGAAATTACTGTATAACAGATCAATGATGAAACTGGTAGACGGTGCCAAGCAAGCAGTGTGCGATAGACGACAGGGTTACGCGTGAAACGGAAAAGAAAGCGAGAATCAAATGAACTAGTACAAATAATGATTGTTTTCTCTTTTATCATCCGTGCAGAGACGTTTCAGAACAACATTCGATGAGCTGCTTACCTATGTGACGCATGCACACGTTCTCACTCATGTGGGTCGTCAAGCGTGTGCCGATGTTGCCAGTGTACCATAGTCGTCATGTATATCATGCAAATGCTCGCTACATTTAAACTGCATATCAAATCTTCATCTTAAACTATGGTGTTGTGTTCTCTTCATCGTGTGTCACTGCCTACGCATGTCATCGTTGCCAACAAGCTGGTGACAACAGACACCATCAATGCTCCGCACAAAGACGATGAAAGAATTGAAGGCGTCCCAGATCTTCAGATCTAAGGATAAAGAATAGTGACCTTGTATACACGGCCTTTCAGAGGTGGGAAAATTCCCTTCTGTCGCCAAAGATGCCGCAGGTTCAAGAAGACCGCTTTGGCTTTTACAATAAGTAAACTGACTTCAATAATTATTCGTCCATGGTTACCGATGTACCTGCCAAGGTAAGTTAATTGGTCAACAACCTCGAGCTCCACGCTATCAAGGGTCAATGGGTCATCAAGTGGCTGGTGGTTCTGTAACAACACTTTGCAAATTGAAGGTGCAGAGCGCATGCCAAATAATGGGACCAATTTCGAGGGTTGACTGGACCGCCCCAACATCGTTAAAACCAAGACAATATCATCCGCATAATCAAGATCAACTAACCTTTCACCAGGTAGCACCTCGACGCATCTTGAGATTCTGTAATGGAACGCACCATAATGGAGTGCACGACGAATGGAACAAAAGCGGGGAAATTGGACAACCCTGACGAACGCTACTAGTAGTCGGAAAGACATCCAACAAGTCACCGTAGACCCTGACGTGGCCTGTGGTGCGCCAGTAAAACCACGTTAAATGTGCACTCATTTCGTGAGAACACCTTTCCACACAAGTATTTCGAACAGAATGTATCGATCGGTTTGTCGAACGAACGGATCTTTTCCAGTTAAGCCCCGCCACTAATGCAAAAAGAGCACGTGCAAAAAGTTAAGTCCCGCCACTAAGGCAAAAAGGGTACACCTGAAAAGTCAAGCCCCACCAATAGTGCAAAAAGGGCACGCGTGAAAAGTTGAGCCCCGCCACTGTTTGCCAGCTCCAGTGTACATAATGCATGTGAAGGTGCCCCCTAAAAACACTCCTTATCCGCTTCTAAGGTCATTTTTGTCCCAAAAGTTTCTACGTTCGCACGTAAAACCTGACATGAACTTTCTGACGCTTTCGGCGGTCGTTCATGACAAGGAAACAGCAATACGTTTTTTGCAAATCCATGGAGTGATTCATCATCAACGTTTATGCAGACGAGGACACCAAATGTCACTTTCAACTGTTTCTCACAGGTGAAGGTGTGATGCCCGACAGTGTCGGCAAGAAATCGGTCTTCGAAATGGAACTTGGCTAGAGCGGTCTAGGATGGATTTCAGGACAATAATCCTATTCATTTATTGCTGGTCCAAAAATCTGACAACAATCAAATTCTGCTCAGAGGAGTTATCTATTGGCCACGCGACCGCTGTCGACTGGAAGAACTTTCTGCGTGAAATTTGCGCCTGGCAGCTTTTGCAGACTCCAACGATTGTCGGCGGCCCAGGTCTACATGTCGAGATGGATGAAACCCTAATATTACGTCGTAAAAACCATGCAGGGCAAGCCCTTCCCCAGCAGTGGATTTTCGGAGGGATTTGCCGGGAGACTAAATAAGTGTTCTTGTATGCAGTGCCAGATCGAACTGCGGCCACTCTGCTGGATACAATCCAGGCCTGCATCGCTCCCGGCTCAATTATCATTTCCGATATGTGGGCATCATACCAAGGCATTGAATCGATGATTGGCATGAGTTATACTCATCAAACGGTTAATCATACCGAAAACTTTGTGGATCCAACGACTGAAGCTCACACACAAACCATCGAATCTCTCTGGCACATTTACAAGATACAGAATAAGCGCCAATGCGGCACACACCAATCTTTAGTGGACAGCTACCTGTGTGAGTTCGTTTGGAGGCAAAGACACCGAAAAATGGACCTTTTCATGCAAATTATTAATGACTTGTCTCAATTTCACCCTCTATAATAGAGAGTAAAAGTTCAAGTTCCATATCCTCCCTTTTCATGAACTTTTTTGGGTGGCTGGGCTTAACTTTTTGGCGGGGCTTAACTGGAAAAGATCCGAACGAACTACTGAAATCCAGGGACGCAGCTATTGTCGGTTTGCGGTATGCGTGGCCCTGCTCTACCACATGTCTCAAAGCGAATATATGGTCAATACAGCCCCATCCTGGCCGAAACCTTGCATGCTCTTCCCTAATCCGAGATTCCCGTTCCGCAGTGTGGCGGTGAACGAGCATGGAAGCCGGTCATTTTGTCAACACCCCCTGTGGTTAGCATAGTCGGCGCGGCTGCTGTTGTTGTATATTGCCACTATCACCGATCCACCAGTTAGTCGCGATGGTCTCCACCTTCCAGACATCTTTAAGCAGGGAGGTCAGTGATTTACAAAGAACAGCACCACTATCCTTAAATAGTGAAAGTTGGAGGGAATTCAGGCCAGCAGCCCGAAAACCATTAAGGGTATATTTACATTTGCAAAAGTCTACGAATAGACATAATGCCATCAGAAACCATGGGATTCAAACGAAGATACAGAAATAGTAAAATAAAACACAACACAACAATGTCCATGGTTTCCTCAGAGGGCGAGATACTACCCGGTTGCCCAAGCCGAAGTAGTGTGTTGACTTAGGGGACACCACCCCGAGCCTTTGGCTGAATAACCTGTCCGCAAGGCAGCGGAGCGAATTCAGGGAATCGCGCCCATTGGGAGCCGGTGACTGATTGCTCAGTTCATACGCCTTTCGTTTGTTCCTTTGTCAAACAGGGGCCCAATGCTCCCCAGAAGTACAGCATGGTGTTGCTGGAATACAATGCTTCGCCAGGATGAAGCAAGGGGCAGTGACTTTATTTAGTGGCGAGTAACGTCCGCCACGTCACAGTGTTGTTAAACAGACATATGTGGCTTTTTATAGGGAAAACGCTTGCCAGGCGAAAACCCACCACGTCCTGGAACACTGCCGCCGAACCATTTGCTGGAACGGGAAAGTCCCGAACCACCCAGCTGGCACCACGAGGAGGTTGTTCGGCTGCGATTGTGTTTCTGACCTCGGCCTACCATGGAGCTAATAAACAAACCGTCCATGGCTCATCTTGTATTACCTGAGTAGGAAGAGGTCCGGAAGCAGAGGGTCAACTGAACTGATCCTGAAAGTGCCCCGCCAAACGAGCCTTATGGCGCTCCGTATTGTGAATTAGTGCACCCGCACTGGATCTGATTGTCTCACTGACGCCTGGCTTCCTGGGACCAGTGGTGCGAATCAGCTGGAAGAGCATGCGAAAATTGCCTACTGCTCCCGCCTCCTTCATTTCTTGCGTTCGACTGGTCCACCAGGCTTCCCTGTAAGCAGGCATGCACCGCTTTAGATCTCATCCAACAGTCCGCCTGATAACATTGTGCTCAGAGCCAATCGGAAGGGATCTACTGGATTCCAACAGGTTCATCGACCTCTCGCGTATCCAGTAACTGGTGCAGTGACGACTGAGAATACCACAAACAGAGGCTTCTGCGACTTTCTTGGCAGCCGAAGTCCTATTCCATCAAAGCTGCCACATTAGGGCAAACGAGCGAAAGTTTGCTAGGTATGGCGTCCTGGTAGGCTTGGTAGGTTTCCTAGGAAAGTACCCGGAATAACAACAACTTATCACGATGTAAGAATCTAAGATGTGAACAGACTTGCCAAACAGCATTACTAGATGCATCGGTTCCGACCAACGAATCTGCTGCTTATCTACGCATTCGCAGTTGGAGATTGCATGGTGCGCGTTGCTTCAGGGTCATGGCACGCCTGACGGCAGACGTAAAAGCGAAGCTCCGACACTTTGCTTGATTTCTACGTGCATTCTCAACGGATCGCGGACTAGTATACACCATTTAATCCCGTTTTGCGTCCTCTTTCCAAAACCGGAACAAGTGTTGAAGGACATCTGATGGTTCTCACAAAAACTCTGCAAAACCTTCCAAATCACTCTGTGCTCCGCTCCGCAGTGGATTTTTCCTTACACATCTCAACGTACATCAACCAAATTCCAATCATTCGGCTCGGAATTACCAGCTCTATTGAACAACCACTTGGCCAGCTCCATACCATCGCAATCTACAACTCTTGGCGGTACTTTGCGCCATATTCCCTAATACGACTAGCAAATCGGCCTTCCCACTAGCTCCATCGTGCGGACATCTCATCGACAACCGACCCTAAACGGCATCGATCAATATACGCGGGTTTTCTCTCACCCCAAAGTCACTCGACCTTGCGTGCGTGTCACAACGTGTGAGCGAATCATCAACGTCAGATTGTCATTTGCCACCCGCCCGGGAGCGTACACCGTAGACCCGTGCACATAGCGAGCAAACGAGACTAACGAACAAACCGCGCAGGTGACAGAGAAATCAAAGAACTGCCCCATC